ACAAACACACATCTATACACATATACACACACATATACACACAAAGTACATATACACAGAGTGGGCCACAGCAATGCGTGGCAGGGAACTGCTAGTAAGCACAATAAAATACCCCTTATATCAATGTTTCTCAACCTTAAGAGCCCCCAGTGGCACAATGGGTTAAACCCTTGTGCCGGCAGGACTGAAGACCGACAGGACAGAGGTTCGATTCTGGGGAGAGCATGGATGAGCCCCTTCTGTCAGCTCCAGCTCCCCATGCGGGGACATTAGAGAAGCCCCCCACGAGGATGGTAAAGCATCAAAAACATCCGGGCGTCCCCTGGGCAACATCCTTGCAGATGGCTAATTCTCTCACACCAGAAGCGATTTGCAGTTTCTTAAGTTGCTCCTGGCACACACACACCAAAAAACCAAAACTTTAAGTGGCTGAGGGGGAAAAGGAAGGGTCCTTAGGTTGTTAGGAATTATGGGAGTTGAAGTCCAAAACAATTAAGAGGGCCAAAGTTTGCCCATCCTCGTTGTAAACAGCATATTAAATATTATGTCATAATTAGTAATTTACAGCTTGATAAAACATTTTGATGGTAAAACATCAAAAACATCCATGTGTTCCCTGGGCAACGTCCTTGCAGACGGATAATTCTCACACACCAGAAGCGATTTGCAGTTTCTCAAGTCACTCCTGACACACACACACACAAAACCTTAAGCAGCTGAGGGGGAAAAGGAAGGGGCTGTCCCCTGGGCAACGCCCTTGCAGACGGCCAATTCTCTCACACCAGAAGCGACTTGCAGTTTCTCAAGTCACTCCTTACACACACAATGTAAAGCAGCTGAGGGGGAATCAGGAAAGGGCCTGAGGCTGTTAGGAATTATGGGAGTTGAAGTCCAAAACACTTAGAGGGCCGAAGTTTGCCCATGCTCGTTGTAAACAGCATATTAAATATTATGTCATAAATAGTAATTGGCAGCTTGAGTCCTATTACTTCCCCTATTCCTTTCAAATGGATGCAGCCCTTTCTCTTGACCTGGCGTGACCCTACTAGAGTCTGCAAAGGGAGGAGGAGAGGGAACAGAGCAGCCAAATAGCTGGTGAGTCGTTTCTTCCATCCACCAAAGAATGACAACAAGCGTCGGTCCCATCGCTTGCCTCCTGCCTGGTGGCACAATGGCTCCTTATCTGGCATCCTCTTTATCGGGCGCTGCTTAATTGCACAGCGGCAAGACGGCTCTCGCAGGGACAGCTGCCTGTCCTCGGGTGACCCTTGCAAGAGCATCCCACGTGGGTCAAGCCCGGGAAGGGAAGAGGGAGGGGGGACGGATCCTGCGTCACGGGGACTCGATGTCCTTGGTGCTCCCAGGAACAGCGAGGGAACAGGACGCACCAGCCTCAGCCGGGAGGGTGCACAGGGCGGGGACAGCGTTTGCCGTCTCCTCCCTGTCCTTTCTGGAGGGGAGCCGATTGGAGGCAAGATGCCTTGGAGAGTCGGAGAAGGGGAATTCACTACTTTCTCATATGTCCACATTGGCTTTCAAGGAGTAGATGCCTTGACAGGTCTTGCTCTCTTCCCTTACTGCAGAAAATAAACAAAGGCGCCTTCCAACTCTTCCTCTCCTGTCTTTGTTGTGACAAAAGGTGAGGTGTGTTCCAGGATGCCTCCACATCTTAATCACTTCTTATTTTTCAGAATGGAAAAAAGGAATTATTCTTTTAGTTTGCATCCCACTTTTCCCTCAAGTCATAGTATTCTAGCTGCCAATTAATTAATATTTTTTTTGCGTCAGGATTGACTTGAGAAACTGCAAGTTGCTTCTGTTGTGAGAGAATTGGCCATCTGCAAGTTGTTCCTGACGTGCGCGCATACACACAAAACACAACATATCGATGCATTAATTTAATAGGTCTTTCATAGGCAAGGAATACTCAGAGATGGTCTGCCATTACTTTTCTATAAAACATAAACTAAATGAATTAATACATTTGAATCATAACCTAATCAGATTTTGTTTTCTGTGTCAGGAGCGACTTGAAAAACTGCAAGTCACTTCTGTTGTGAGACAATTGGCCGTTTGCAAGGACATTGCCCAGGAAACACCCAGATGTTTTGATGTTTTTTACCATTCTCGTGGGAGGCTTCTCTCATTTCCCCGCATGGGGAGCTGGAACTGATAGGGGGAGCTCATCCGAGCTCTCCTCGGATTCGAACCTTCGCCTATTACTATATTATGCCTATTATTTAATACAGGCAAGTTACAAATACCCAACTTACAAAGGGCACATAAGTTAAGAACGGTGGTGAGACGACAGGAAGTGAGAGAAATCTACCCCTTGGAAGGGAAATTCAGTCCTGAGAGAATTATCATGAGAAAAAGGGGTCTTCACTGAAGCTTCGTCCCCAATCCTTGTTTCCACAGCAAACAACATTTTTCAAAATTAGATTATCACAAGGACAGAAAATTAGGTGAAAATCTTCTGAACTGGGAATCAGAGACCAAAACAATATTATGGGTGTGTGAACCCTTCACTGTGCTATCCAAAGCTTTTATATGTATGTATATGTTTATATGTGTGTTAGATGTGGAGGTTAGAGGAAAGATTGGGTGTCTTCTGGATCATAGTGCCTACAGGTTATATTGCTTACCTAGAGGATTGTTTGCTCCATGTCTCTACTATAATATATCTGAGTGTTTAGGTATTTGGATACACACACACACCAGCATTTCTCAACCTGGCGGTCAGGACGAGGGAGTGTCACAGGGGTTGCCAAAGACAGTATTTTCTGGGGGTTCTGTGTGGGAAGTTTGGCGCAGCTCTATTGTTGGTGGGGTTCAGAATACTCTTTGATTGTAGGTGAACTATAAATCCCAGCAACTACAACTCCCAAATGTCACGGTCTATTTCCCCCAAACTCCAACAGTGTTCACATTTGGGCACATTGAGGATTCGTGCCAAGTTTGGTCCAGATCCATCATTGTTTGAGTCCACGGAGTTTTCTGGATGTAGGTGAACTACAACTCCAAAACTCAAGGTCAATGCTCACCAAACCTTTCCAGTATTTTCTGTTGGTCATGGGAGTTCTGTGCCAAGTTTGGTTCAGTTTCCATCGTCGGTGGATTTCAGAATGCTCTTTGATTGTAGGTGAACTATAAATCCCAGCAACTACAACTCCCAAATGGCAAAATCAATCCCAACCCCACCAGTATTCAAATTTGGGCCTTTTGGGTATTTGTGCCAAATTTGGGCCAGTGAATGAAAACACATCCTGCATACCAGATATTTACATTACGTTTTATAACAGTAGCAAAATTACAATTATGAAGTAGCAACAAACATAATGGGGGTCACCACAACATGAGGAAGCGTATTAAGGGGTCACGGCATTAGGAAGGTTGAGAACCACTGGTCTAGAGGATTGTTTGCTGCCTGCCTCTGCTGTAATATATTTGAATATTAGTTATTTGGAAGATATATATATTTGCACACACTCCTATAGAGTTAAGCATCAGAACCTGCAGTCCAAAAGGGAGACGAAGGCGAAATGCATGGGTTCAGCAGTCCATGTTTAGAGTGCCTTCTAACTCCAACTTGATCAAACATGCCAGTGTCTAAGACACCCCTGCATTCTTGTCCTGGATGTTCCTCTCCTCCTTTCTCTCCCCACTTGTCACCCCACTCCTTTGTTGCATGCTGATCTTGGGACAGACTACAGACTGGCCAATTCTGCTGTTGCCCAGGTTTGGGAAGGTTGTTTTTGAGACAAGCCGAATGATGTTTGATGACAGCCTTGGACGTCGAGTCCTATCCATGACTACTGTACCTCTAACAGACCCACTGAACCAGCACACACTCTTGTAGTAAATAAGGATCACTATTCAAAAACAGGGGAACAGTAAATAAGGATCACTATTCAAAAACAGGGGAACTCCAGATAGCAAACAATCAAATTGCCAGTTAACACCTCCCAAACAGAGGATGCCTCCAGGCAACAACAGCCAGACTACCTCTGTAAAGTTATCTTTATTGATTGGCTTTGCAACTTCATGGCTACTTAATGCTATTGAAGCTTGCGAATTACAACTATCATGTCATACTACATAGAGAAGCCATTGAAATCCACAAACACGTGAACAATTTCAACAGAAAGGAGGAAAGCATGAAAACAAAATCTGTCTGCCAGTATTTAAAAAACCCTCTAAAATCAGGGCAGTAAATAAAGAGCAGCACTCAAAAAAACAGAAGAATTCCTGATAGGAAACAATCAGGATAAGCTAACACCTCCCAACAAAGGATTCCCCAGGCAGGAAGCAGCCAGGCTTTGAAGCTGCAAGGCCATTCAATGCTAATCAAGCTTGCCAATTGCAACATTCACACTTGCTTTACACAGACAAGGATTTTCACTCCCACCATGGACATTCCATACACACATCTATATATACACTCCACTTGACTCACCTCTCAACAAAGGATTCCCCTAGGCAGTAAGAAGTCGGACCTTGAAACTGCTAGGCCATTCAATGCTAATCAAGGTGGCCAACTGAAACATTCACACCTAGCTCCAACAGACAAGAGTTCTTTCTCCCACCCTGGACTTTCCACAGATATATAAACCCCATTTTCCTAGTTTCCAACAGATCTCACAATCTCTGAGGATGCTTGCCACAGATGCAGGCAAAACATCAGGAGAGAATGCTACTGGAACATGGCCATACAGCCCGAAAAACCCACAGCAACCCAAATATAATAATAATAATAATAATAATAATAATAATAATAATAATAATAAATTATATAGTATGGATCCACCCTTAGTCACTTAGAATAGATTTTCTCTTCTCCCCAGGTGATCAGGGAGGGAGTTATGGCTGCTGATCAACTTTGGCAAAGTCAGTGGAAGGTTGGGCTCAAAGTAAGGGAGGCACTGGCAGATCTGTGAGCGGTTTCGGTCCTGTCCTGGTCAATGAACCCCCCTCCTTTCTCATTCCCTCCTTCCCTCCAGGCCATGGTGGCATGCTACCCTGGCAACGGCATGGGTTATGTGCGACACGTGGACAACCCTCACGGAGATGGGCGCTGCGTCACATGCATTTATTACCTAAACCGACAGTGGGATAGTAAGGTAGGTGATAGAGCCGGTGGGAGGGAGGCAGAGGTGGGCGGAGGGCATGCTCCCAGCATCGGTCACAGTTTCAAGCATGGCACTGGTTACTTCCTTTGTGATGTGGATTTTCCCCACTCCTTCCCCTTCACTGTTTGCTCCTTGCTGTCCATTGGGATGTCCAGTTCTGCCAGGGCTCACTTCCATGGACAGAACTTGTGGGATGCCCGTCTGGTCCTTGCAGAAGAGGAGGCGGAGATGAAAAGGCAGCGGGACTTGGATTTGGATTGGGGGATAGTGGTCGGTGGTGACATCTATGTCAATAAAGGGCAGTCGATCTGTTCTGAGTTTTAGGGTGCGTCTACACCAGGCATGGGTAAACTTTGGCCCTCCAGATGTTTTGGATCTCAACTCCCACCATTCCTAACAGCCTCAGGCCCTTTCCTTTTCCCCCTCAGCCGCTTAAGTGGCTGAGGGGGAAAAGGAAGGGGCTGAGGCTGTTAGGAATGGTGGGAGTTGAAGTCCAAAACATCTGGAGGGCCAAAGTTCGCCCATGTCTGGTGTACACTGTAGAATTGATACAGTGGCCATGGTTTAGTGCTATGGAATCATAGGAGTTGCAGTTTTGCAAGATTTTTTGTTGACAGTAAAGAGTGCTGGGCGAACTGCACATCTCTTTTTTCCATAGGATTAAGCCGCGACTGTTAAAATGGTACCAAACTGCATCAATTCCACAGCGCAGATGCACCATTACAGCTCTCCAATGTGTAGAACCCTATCTTTCTAAGCAAGTCAAGCATTTGTAATAACTCTCCGAAAGTTTGCATTAAACTCTGGAATGGAATCCCAGCCCCACTGATGAGGAAACTAACTAGCTACCCATTGCCTCTGCTTCTGAACATGTGCAGAAATGACTTGCTGCCCATTTGGGTATCTGCGCTGCTCACAGACCCTTTCTTGCTTCTCCGTTTCCCAACCAGGTCCATGGCGGCATCCTGCAAATCTACCCGCAGGGCCGAGAGGTGGTGGCCAACATCGAACCCATCTTTGACCGGTTGCTCATCTTCTGGTCTGACCGACGCAACCCGCATGAAGTGAAGCCAGCCTATGCTACAAGGTAATGCAGGGGGTCAAGTTTACTGGTTATTGGTTTGGGTTTTTTGTTGAAATTGAGTAGGGAAAGGGACAAGGAGTTTTCTGGCAGTCAAAGCTTGTGGATCGGTGCTACTGAGAGCTGATTGTATAATCTATATAAATAAACACAATGTTCGTTTGTGGGATTAACAGAACTCAAAAACCACTGGGGGGATTGACACAAAATTTGGACACAAGACACCTAACAACCCAATGTATGTCCTTCACTCAAAAAAATTGTTTTGTCATTTGGGAGTTGTAGTTGCTGGGATTTATAGTTCACCTACAATCAAAGAGCATTCTGAACCCCCAACGATGGAATTGAACCAAACTTGGCACACAGTTCTCCCATGACCAACAGAAAATACTGGAAGGTTTTGGTGGGCAGTGTCCTTTGGTTTTGGAGTTGTAGTTCACCTACATCCAGAGAGCACTGTGGACTCAAGCAATGATGGATCTGGACCAAACTCTACAAGAATACTAAATATGCCCAAATGTGAACACTGGTGGAGTTTGGGGGAAATAGAATCTTGACATTTGGGAGTTGTAGTTGCTGTGATTTATAGTTCACCTACTATCACAGAGCATTCTGAACCCCACCAACAATAGAACTCTGCCAAACCTCCCACACAGAACCCCCATGTGGGCCACAGCAACGCGTGGCAGGGGACGGCTAGTAAATAAATAAATAAATATGTAGAGATCCAGTTTGCACCCTGTTTTCCCATTATGATGTGGGACATAATCAGCATTGCTTTTCGTCTGTATAAGCCCCCTTTGAACTAAAGAGATACATGTTGCTGGTGCCCTCCAGTGGCTGTGCTCCTTTCAGTTGAATGGCATGGAAAAACTCTCAGCCGGGTTATTTGCGTATTTCCACTCTCCCTGCCAGTCTTTTGAGTGACACTTTCCTTCCTGGCCTCAGCTAATGCTGCCAGTCATTCTTTGCCTTCTGGTTCCTTCGCCCGACAAATTCGCACCTGCTTACTCATCTGTGTTTGTGTCTTTCTCAGGTACGCCATCACAGTCTGGTATTTTGATGCCAAGGAGCGGGCAGAAGCCAAAGGCAGACACCAGCTGGGTACGTATAGGGAGCACACAACCCCCTGTTGCGTCGGCTCCACTGGCTGCCAGTCTGCTACTGAGCACAATTCAAAGTCCTGGCTTTAGCCTATAAAGCCCTAAACCAGTGGTTCTCAACTTGTGGGTCCCCAGATGTTTTGGCCTTCAACTCTCAGAAATCCTAACAGCTGGTAAACTGGCTGGGATTTCTGGGAGTTGTAGGCCAAAACACCTGGGGACCCACAGGTTGAGAACCACTGCCCTAAACTGTTCCTGCCCAAACAGATCTCTCCCAATGAACCACCTTGGAGCTTAGGATAGTCTGGGGAAGCCCTGCTCTCAGTCCCACCTCCTTCACAGATGTGACTGTTGCAGACGAGAGACAGGGTCATCTCAGTGGTGGTTCCTCAGCTATGGAATTCCCTCGCCAGGGATATTAGATGAGCCCTCTCCCTCCTGATCTTCCATAAGAAAATGAAAACGTGGCTTTTTGATCAAGCCTTTGGAGATCTTGTGTAATACATAAATATGGAGTTATGTGCAATGACTATTGGAACAGCCTAAACCAGGGAATGGTGGGAGTTGAAGTCCAAAACATCTGGGTCCTCAAACTTTTTAAACAGAGGGCCAGGTCACAGTCCCTCAAACCGTTGGAGGGTCAGACTATAATTTGAAAAAACATGAATTCCTATGCACACTGCACATAACTTATTTGTAGTGCAAAAAACCCACTTTAAAAACAATACAATAATTAAAATGAAAAACAATTTTAATGAATATAAACTTATTAGTATTTCAATGGGAAATGTGGGCCTGCTTTTGGCTGATGAGATAGGATTGTTGTTGTTGTGTGCTTTCAAGTCATTTCAGACTTAGGTTGACTCTGAGCGAGGGCCGGGTAAATGACCTTGGAGGGCCGTATCCGGCCCCCGGGCCTTAGTTTGAGGACCCCTGGCCTGAACTATGACTTTGGATAATGTGGTTAACAGTGAAGGTATTGTTTTATATGTTTAAAATGTTTTAATGTATTTTATAATTCTATTTTAAATGTTTATTTTGATTGTACATTGGTTTTGAATGCATCAAATAGTTGTATTATCAAAGGCTTTCATGGCTCTAGATAGCAAACAATCTAGATAGGCTCTAGATAGCAAACAAGAAAGAACGAAATGCAAAGAGACAGAATGCCTGGCTTGAGAGCAGTATGTGTGAAAAAGATCTTGGAGTCCTCGTGGACAACAAGTTAAACATGAGCCAACAATGTGATGTGGCGGCAAAAAAAGCCAATGGGATTTTGGCCTGCATCAATAGGAGCCTAGTGTCTAGGTCCAGGGAAGTAATGCTACCCCTCTATTCTGCTTTGGTTAGACCACACCTGGAATATTGTGTCCAATTCTGGGCACCACAATTCAAGAGAGATATTGACAAGTTGGAATGTGTCCAGAGGAGGGCGACTAAAATGATCAAGGGTCTGGAGAACAAGCCCTATGAGGAGCGGCTTAAGGAGCTGGGCATGTTTAGCCTGAAGAAAAGAAGGCTGAGAGGAGATATGATAGCCATGTATAAATATGTGAGAGGAAGCCACAGCAGAAGAGAGTAAAAAGCTAAAAAACAAAAAATACAATGCATGCATAAACCCACACACACATGCAAACACACATATATACACACATATATATATGCACACACAAAACACATCAACACAGGCTGGGCCACAGGAGGGAGCAAGCTTGTTTTCCGCTTCCTTGGAGACTAGGACGCGGAACAATGGCTTCAAACTACAAGAGAGGAGATTCCATCTGAACATGAGGAAGAACTTCCTGACTGTGAAAGCCGTTCAGCAGTGGAACTCTCTGCCCCGGAGTGTGGTGGAGGCTCCTTCTTTGGAAGCTTTTAAACAGAGGCTGGATGGCCATCTGTCAGGGGTGATTTGAATGCAATATTCCTGCTTCTTGGCAGGGGTTGGACTGGATGGCCCAGGAGGTCTCTTCCAACTCTTTGATTCTATGATGCCAGGGTTGTTGTAGGTTTTTTGGGTTGTATGGCCATGTTCTAGAAGCATTCTCTCCTGACATATTGTCGAAGGCTTTCATGGCTGAAATCACTGGGTTGCTGTGATAATGTGGCATGTGGAGAAAGGTGGGGTAGAAATGTTGTAAACAAATTACCGTATATTCTGGCATATAAGACGTCTGGGCATATAAGATGACCCCCAACTTTTCCAGTTAAAATATAGAGTTTGGGATATACTCACCGTATAAGACTACCCCCAATGCACACCAAATAAATTTTTTAAAAGCATCAGATTTGATTTCAATATGGTAATTTTCCTATTACTGTACCTCCTTCTCTGCCTCTCAGATCTCGCACTGCACACTTCACTGCAGTCTTCAGGAGCGAGATCTGAGAGGCAGAGGAGGAGGTAAGGTAATAGGATAAAGGGCGGGCCAGACAGGTAAAAGAGGTGTGTTTTTCTGGGCCCAGAGCCACTCTATCTCTTTTTTCCATACCCCGGGTGCCCCGGACGCCTGCAGCTTGCTCCGCCCTTCACTTACACCTTCCTGGTGAGGCGCCCCTTCACCTCACCATTGGGACCGCATTAAGTCCACGAATCCTGATGAATGGATTTTCTTCTACCGTACTTGTACAGCGTCACCCTTAATGCTTTCATACAGTTCGCTGCATATGGCAGGGATGTGGCTACTGCCATTTTTGGCTCCACCCACAATATGCAGCAAGCACAGATTCTCCAATCTGGATTGGAAGTTTCAGCACCCGCTCTATAAGACGACTCCCGCATATAAAACAACCCCTGACTTTTGAGATTTTCTTAGGTTAAAAAGTTGTCAGAATATACGGTATGTAGGTTATGGAGTATACTCCTGGTACTCTACTAGATTTAGGTGGAATTGCCTCAACTAAGGGTTGATTTTGAGTCTAGCAGCTTAGATTCCCCAACACTAACAAGTCCCTCTTCCTTCCAAAGTGGTGATTTTGGGCATTGGACTATGATTCTGGAGACCAGGGTTTCAGTCCCCATTGGACCATGGACAGAGACCTTGGGCAACTCTCTCTGCCTCACAGACAAAGTTTGCCAAGAAAACCACGTGACCCATTTCCCCTTTCCTCTCTTGCAGCTACTGCTCAGACGGGAGAACCTGCTCCAGCGACTCAAACCAACGGACCTACATGACCAACATCCGGGGATACCGCTGAGAATTGCACGCCAAAGAGCTGCCCCTTTCTTTGGCCATTTCAAGCTGCCCGTTGCCGCTGCTGCTACCGCTGCTGCTGAAGTTGCTGCTGTCCTTTTCCAACCCTGGCCAGAGGCAGTCTGGCCCTAACCCAGGAGGAAGAAGAAGGGGAGGAGGAGGAGAAAGGGGTTCCTGGGGGAGAGGTGGGCCCTGAGGAGGAAGGGTGTGCACACCTGTGTTTGCGTGTGCTTAAGTTGCGTAGGCAACGTAGTCTCTAGGGATGGCCTCTCCGTTAAGGCCTCTTTTGCATTTCTTCCTATGACCAAGATGCCTCCAGTTTATAAGGCGGCACCTTGGCCATTTAAGGATCTCCACCATGCTCCGTTTCCCCCCTATAATACTGCTCTCTTTGCTTGATTCCACTCACTTGAATCCATCTTGAGTCTTCAGAGAGCAGGGAAAGAAGGAGTGGGGCAGAGCAGGGCAAAAATGGCTGTGGAGGGGCACTTTTAAACCAAGTTTGGATGGAGTGGTGGGGAGAGTGAGAAGGTACCGTGGTTTGGACTCTGAGATGGGATGGAATAAACATTACCTCATGAAAAAATCGCCTTTGGTTGTCTTCTTTGTGGAAGGAAGGGACAGAGGAAGTCTCCCAGATCTCCATTGCCTCCTTTGGGAAGGTGGTGCGTGGTCCAAGCTCATTGTAGGAGAGGAATTGGCAGTGTTTCCTAGTCTGTGTCCTTTTCCTCTATTCTGTAAAGTAGGAAGTCTATAGGAATCTCAATTACAAGCTTAACTATTTATTTATTATGTCAGAAGCGAGTTGAGGGCACAATTAAAATGCATTTAAAAACAAAGTAAAAAGAAAAAACTTGGCATTATACTAAATGTTCTTTGATCAGTAGCTGGCCACTTGGAGTGCCTCTGGTGTTGCTGTGAAAAGGTCCTCCACTGTGTATGTAGCAAGGCTCAGGTTGCATTGTAGTAGGTGGTCTGTAGTTTGCTCTTCTCCGCACTCGCATGTCATGGATTCCACTTTGTAGCCCCATTTCTTAAGGGTCAGTCCAGTCACTTCAAGGATGCCATCCATCCATCTTGCCCTTGGTCGGCCCCTCTTCCTTTTGCCTTCCACTTTCCCCAGCATAATTGTCATCTCTAGGCTTTCCTGTCTCCTCATGATGTGGCCAAAGTACTTCAACTTTGTCTCTAGTATCGTTCCCTCCAGTGAGCAGTCGGGCTTTATTTCCTGGAGGATGGACTGGTTGGATCTTCTCGCAGTCCAAGGCACTCTCAGAACTTTCCTCCAACACCACAGCTCAAAAGCATCGATCTTCCTTCGCTCAGCCTTCCCTAAGGTCCAGCTCTCACATCCGTAGGTTACTACCGGGAATACCATGGCTTTGACTAGGCGGATCTTTGTTGCCAGTCTGATGTCTCTACTCTTTACTATTTTATCGAGACTGGACATTGCTCTCCTCACAAGAAGTAAGCGTCTTCTGATTTCCTGGCTACAGTCTGCATCTGCAGTAATCTTTGCACCTAGAAATACAAAGTCTGTCACGGCCTCCACATTCTCCCTCTATTTTCCAGTTGTCAATCATTCTTGTTGCCATAATCTTGGTTTTTTTGATGTTTAGCTGCAACCCGGCTTTTGCGCTTTCTTCTTTCACCTTGATTAGAAGGCTCCTCAGCTCCTCCTCGCTTTCGGCCAGCAGAGTGGTGTCATCTGCATATCTGAGGTTGTTAATGTTTCTTCCAGCAATTTTCACCCCAGCTTTGCATTCATCCAGGCCCGCACATCGCATGATGTGTTCTGCATACAAGTTAAAAAGGTTGGGTGAGAGTATGCAGCCTTGCCGTACGCCTTTCCCAATCTTGAACCAGTCTGTTGTTCCGTGGTCAGTTCTGACTGTTGTTACTTGGTCCTTGTACAGATTCCTCAGGAGAGAGACAAGGTGGCTTGGGATGCCCATCCCACCAAGAACTTGCCACAATTTATTATGATCCACACAATTTATTATGCTCTTTGATTGTAGGTAACTATAAATCCAGGGAACTACAACTCCCAAATGTCAAGGTCTATTTCCCCCAAACTCCACCAGTGTTCATATTTGGGCATATTGAGCATTCATGCCAAGATTGGTCCAGATCCATCATTGTTTGAGTCCACAGTGTCTGGATGTAGGTGAACTACAACTCCAGAACTCAAGGTAAATGCCCACCAAACCCTTCCATTATTTTCTCTTCGTCATGGGAGTTCTGTGTGCCAAGTTTGGTTCGATTCCATCATTGGTGGAGTTCAGAATGCTCTTTGATTGTAGGTGAACTATAAATCCCAGCAACTACAACTCCCAAATTACAAAATCAATCCCCCCCCCCCCCAAACCTCACTAGTATTTAAATTTGGGCGTATTGGATATTTATGCCAAATTTGATCAACAGTAGCAAAGTTACAGTTATGAAGTAGCAATGAAAGTAATTTTATAGTTGGGGGGGTCACCACAACATGAGGAACTGTATTAAGGGGTCGCGGCATTAGGCATTGGGAAGGTTGACCACTGCTGTAGACCTTAGGAAGCTGTTTCTTGATTTATGGTGATGGCATGCTGGTTGATATCTGAACAGAGGATGGGTTGAAGATGTCAATGCCTTGGTCCTTTCATTGCTGGCTGCTCCTTCCCGTCAGGTGGTGTCATACCAGCTAAACTGTAATTTCTCAAGTGTTGTGGGGTGTAGACATCCTGTGATAATGCAGCATGTCTCATTAAAACCCACATCCAGTGTTGTAATGTGTCATGATGTATTCCACACTGGGCATGTATACTCTGCAGCAGAGTAGCAAAGAGCAAGGGCAGATGTCTTCTCTGTGAAGACAAGCCAAACTGAAAGACGACCAAGCAGGAGTGTAATGGAGGATTACAAATAAGTGGGAAACTTGTCTTGAAGGAGCTATCCAAGGTGCTGAATCATGCCTTTCCCCAAATGGATAGCATTTGAAAGTTCAGATGAATACGGTGACTTCCAAAGTGTTGCACCCATGTTTCCTGGTAGATTGATCTGTAGTAACTCTCCTTCCATGTCTTTGAGAATGCCGTTCCTTTAGAAATGGAATTCCAGTAGAGAGAAGGAACTGCATTTGAAGAGAGCATTCCTGAAACGAGTGGCACTCAAGGTGCAGGAAGAAGGGGAAAAGGCTGCAAATGGGAGTAAATGGATGAGAACAACTGAGGGAAAGCGCATGTGCAGCCAGGTCTGATTGTCCTGCCATTGCAAGCTACCTGCAGAGTCTTGCAGAAGTTACTTAATGTGGGGTACTAGGGTGATCAATGAAACCTAATTGATAGCCATAAACGACATAGACCATTAAATAGTAGTACTTTGAAGTCTCCAAGTTAGTGGGAGTAAGTATATTCTGGATTTCAAAGGAGGTATGGAAGAACATGCCATCCTTGGTAGAGTCAGAATGTTTGATAGCTCCTTTAAAGTTCAGACTACAATCCAGAAAGGATCCCCTGCTTCTGTGATATGTAAGCTACTGATGCCTTCCAGAATTGGGAAACTTTTGTAGCCCCAAAGTAACATTCTGGAATAGATTCTGGATTTGTATTGTCGAAGGCTTTCATGGCTGGAATCACTGGGTTGTTGTAGGGTTTTCAGGTTATATGGCCATGTTCTAGATGCATTCTCTTCTGACATTTCACCTGCATCTGTGGCAAGCATCCTCAGAGATTATGAGGTCCTCACAACCTCTGAGGATGTTTGCCATAGATGCAGGTGAAATGTCCGGAGAGAATGCTTCTAGAATATGGCCATATAGCCCCCAAAACCTTCAACAACCCAGATTCTGGATTTTGCTCACATATATTTTTGGCACATTTACATGTATGTGAGCATGGAAGGTTATGTGTCCTGCCCCAAAGGAGACATTGATGTCAGCTCCGGTGTGATAAGCATTTCATTAGTGTATGATTATGGCATTTGGATTTAGATATAAATTGACATTTGACTCATGCAACAGCTATGCACCAAAGAAGATGACCACAAGATGGTGCCATTGAACTGCTTTTGGAGGCTTTGATGACAAATGAGTGCAGTGTTTCTCAACCTTCCTAATGCCAGGACTCTATAATACAGTTCCTCATGTTGTGGTGACCCCCAACCATAAAATTATAAGGGTAATTTTGTTACTGTTATGAATCGTAATGCAAATATCTGATATGTGGGATGTATTTACATTCACTGGATCAAATCTATGATACTATATGTGTCATATCTCTCTCTCTCTCTCTCTCTCTCTCTCTCTATATATATATATAAATGCTCTATTCATTTTGAGTGACATCATAATCAAAATCTGCTGGACTAATTGCCACAAAATTTGGCCACATGACACCTGATAACCCAAGGAGTGGCCATCACTAAAAAAAATTGATTTTGTCATTGGGGAGTTGTAGTTGCTGAGATTTATACTTCACATACAATCAAAGAGCATTCTGAACCCCACCAACGATGGAATTGAACCAAACTTGGCACACAGAACTCCCATGACCAACAGAACATACGGGAAGGGTTTGGTGGGCATTGACCTTGAGTTTGGGAGTTGTAGTTCACCTACCTCCAGAGCACTGTGAACTCAAACAATGATGGATCTGGACCAAACTTGGCACAAATACTCAATATGCCCAAATGTGAACACTGGTGGTTTTTGGGGAAAATAGACCTTGACATTTGGGAGTCATAGTTGCTGGGGTTCATAGTTCACCTACATTCAAAGAGTATTCTGAACCCAACCAACGATAGAATTGGGCCAAACTTCCCACACAGAATCCCCGTGACAACAGAAAATGCTGTGTTTTCTGATGGTCTTTGTTGACATCTCCTCGCGATCCCCTACAGGTGTCTCGACCCAAGGTTGAGAAATGGTGAATTAGTGGGAATCTGATTTCCTTCAAATTCTGGGAGCTGTAGCTTGTCCTAATTTCTACAAAATCCGATGCAGAGAAGGATTGCTAAGGAGCAGAAAATTGACTACATATTATTCTCCCTCCATCCTGGCAAACTGGAATGAGAAAATACCCCCATTTGCTTTGGCTTTTTATTTTCTTTACTGTGATCTTGCTCAGGAATAAAATCCAAGGAACTTGGGATGAGAAAAAAAAAGTCTTCCTCTGTGAGTTAAAATACATATCCCATATCCGTAACTGAGTATTTCTTTTTTTGACAAATATCTTTGGAAATTGGTAAATGCAGGAAGACAAATCCTTTGGAGAGGTATTATTTCAATCTTTTAGGTTGGAGGGTGACTACAGGGAAACTAAAGATATATGCATACAGTATATGGCTGTGCAAAACCAGAGTGCCTTTTCAAGGTTTGACACAAGGAGACTTCTGGCTTGGAGAGTCAGAAACCACTGGTAACATTGGGCTTCTCGGGTTCAATTTCAGGTTTTGGATGTCTTGAGGTGCCTGGTAGTGAAATGTAGGGCCTTGGGGTTCCCATCCGGAGTTAGCGAGGGAGGACACGGAACTGGAATGGACGGGGGACATTGCCCAGGCCTGTGCATTGCGGTGTTAGGTCAATCTCTGCAGGAGCAACCAGCGGTTGGAGGGAGAAGTGTTGGAGGATGGTGGTGAGGAAGAGGAAAATCTCCATCCGGGCCAAGCCAGCGCCCAGGCAGATACGTTTCCCTGCAGGAGAAGGGCAGAGGATGTGTGAAAACAATCATGTAAGCAATTTCAACAGGAGGAAATAATAAAAGTGAACAAAATCTTATTAGCAGTACTAAAAAACCCCCCACCAGAATCAAGACAATAAATAATGAACGCCAGAACTCCAGAAACAGCAGAACTCCTAACCATCTAGTGCCGATTAATACCTCCCAGAGGATGTCTCCAGGCACCCGAAGTCAGGCTACTTCTATGCAGAGACCCTCACTGAATGACTTTGCAGCTTCATGGCTACTCAATGCTATTCAAACTTGCAAATTGCAACATTCACACTTGCTTTAAACACACAAGGGGTATTTCCATTCATATCTATCTATCTATCTATCTATCTATCTATCTATCTATCTATCTATCTATCTATCTATCTATCAATCTATCTATCTATCTATCTATCTATCATCTATATAAATAAAAATGTAATGTTCGTTTGTGGGATTAACATAACTCAAAAACCACTGGACAAATTGACACCAAATTTGGACACAATACACCTATCAGGCCAACAAGTGACCATCACTCATAAAAACACTGAAAAACACAGCAGAAGGGACTTAAAAAGCCAAGAAGCAAAAAAAATTACATTACAACACATGCGCAAAATCACATATATACACACATATATGCATACACACACACAAAACACATACACAGAAAGGAGGGAGGGAGGAAGGAAGGAAGGAAGGAGAGAAGGAGGGAGAGAAGGAAAGAAGGAGAGAAAGAAGGAAAAAAGAAAGGAAGAGAAGGAAGGAGGGAGAGAAGAAGGGGGAAGGAGAGAAGGAAGGAAAAAATAAGGATTGAGAAGGAAGGAAGGAGATAAGGAGGGAGAGAAAGGGAAGGAGAGAAGGAAGGAAAAGAAGGAAGGAAGGAAGAGAGAAGAGAAGGAGGGAAGGAAGGAGGTAAAGAAGGAAAGAAAGAAGGGTAGAGAAGGAAGGAAGGAGGAGGGAGGAGAGAATGAAATAAAAAAGTGAAAGAGGGAAGGAAGGAGAGAAGGAACAAAAGAGAGAAAGAGGGAGGGAAGGAAGGAAGGAAGGAAAGAGACAAGGAAGGATGGAACCAAAGAGCAAAGGAAGCGAGAAAAGAAACAGGTAGAGAAGGAAGAAGAAGGGAAAGAAAAAGAGGGAAGGAAGGAAAGAGGGAGGGAATGAAGGAAAGAGGGAGGGAAGGTTGGCCACAGCAACGTGTGGCGGGTACAGCTAGTGTATGTGTGTGTGTGTGTATATACATACATACATACACACACACACACACACACACACCCATACATACACATACACACTCATACACACGCACACGCTCACTCCACTTGCTTCAGGTACAGGTGAAACGTCAGGAGAGAATGCTACTGGAACACTGGAATCCACAATCCATAAGAATGCAATATGTAGAATCCTCATAGCAGTATGGCCATGCTGCTTGGGGATTCTGGGAGTTGTAATCCGTCAAAATTTCTCTTACAAGTTCTGCCTCACTTGACCCAAACCTTTAAAGAAAAACTAAAAAAGGGCTGAGTTGGGAGTTCAGAATGTGAAAAGGCTGGGAATAACTCATTTACATTGATTTTAGGGTTGGAGAGGACTCCAAAGGTCACCCTCTGTTGATGTCAGAAAGGTACAGTTAATGCATACCTGACATGTGGCCATTCAACAAAAGAGCAGTCATGCAGTTCTTGTGGTCCAAAATGTTTTTCCTACAATGTTTAGTCAAAGTGACTTAGACCTTTGGTCTACAGTCTCTAGATTATGGCAAGCTTTCAAAAAGATGTAGACAGACCATGTGGGATGTGAGAGGTGAACAATCTTGACCAATGGGCTGTTGTGAATGTCTCAGGTCACCCAATTATCCTAATATTCCCTTAGAGTTTCTTTTGGAATGGAATTTCTCACCTACTGATTCTGGCTATTTTTGAATGGGGATATATTTTGCTATGTCTTTAGGGTCCTTTTATTTTTAGAGCCCCCTCTCCTGGAGTATTGCCAAATGCAGAGCCTGACTTTCTTCCAAAAGTTTTCTATTCTGGGCTGACCTCTGGGTTAAGAATTTAATTGGTCTGGAGGTCGTAGGCCATGCTGCTTTCTTCTAATCTGATCTGGGTTTGGCAGCTTTGTAGACGCATATATTCATAAGGCAACTTGCTCCTGAGCTCAAAGCGGAGGCAAGAGTTCGAATAATAATAATAATAATAATAATAATAATAATAATAATAATAATAATAATAATTTGATCTCTTATCTGCCTCTCCTTGTGGTTCAAGGAGGGTCACAACATAGCAAAAAACATATAATCATTGCCAAAATTCTATAAAATACACATATTAAAATGTATTTCTATAAATGACATATTAAAATACACAGAACAAGGATTAAAACTCATGCCATGATTTTAAAATCAATGTTTAAAACGTGATACTGTCCCCAAACCCTTAACTTTCCATACCTGGAGCAAATGGCATGAATGCATCAGTATTTTTGAATGCGTTTTTCTCATCCAAGAAATGGTCTGGGTTGAAGGACATTGGATCTTTGAACTGTGTGGGGTCGTAGTGCACCGAACTCAGCAAGGGGATGACATTGGTACCCTGAGGAAAGGAATTATATAACAACAACAACAACAACAAAAACAACAACAATGGTTTATTTGTTACTCACTCGAGGTGAGGGTTTGTTGGATACTAGGCAAGTGAGGTTTATATCTCTGTGGAATGTCCAGGGTGGGAGAAACAACTCTTCTCTGCTTGAAGCAAGTGTGAATGTTGCAATTGCCCATCTTGATTAGCATTGAATGGCCTTGTAGCTTCAAAGCCTATCTGATTCCTGCCTTGGGAAGTCCTTTGTTGAGATGTGTTAGCTGGCCCTGATGGATTCTTGCCAGGAATTCCCCTGTTTTTTGAGTGTTGTTCTTTATTTACTGTCCTGGACACAATAAATTATTTGAGAACACAGAAAGGCTGGACCACTCTCACAACCACCATGTCAGGCTACACAGAGAAGGCATTGAAATCCATAAGCATGTGCTACCAGTATTAAAAAATTCTAAAATCAGGACAGTAAACAAAAATCAACACTCAAAACACAGGGGAATTCCAGACAAGAATCCACTAGGGCTAGCTTTATTTATTTATCATATCAGAAGCAAACCAAGGGTGCAGTTGTAATGTATTTTAAAAAGCACAAAGTTTAAAAACTTGGCATTATATTATATTATTATAATCAGGGCCAGCTAACAACTCCCAACAAAGGATTCCCCCAGGCAGGAGGCAGCCAGGCTTTGAAGCTGCAAGGCCATTCAGTGCTAATCAAGGTGGCCAATTGCAACATTGAGCAGGCAAGATCTTTTTCTTCCACCATGGACGTTCCACAAATATATAAACCCCATTTGTCCTAGCTTCCAACAGACCTCACAACCGCTGAAGATGCCTGCCATAGATGTGGGTGAAATGTCAGGAGAGAATGCTTCTAGGGCATGGCCATGCAGTCCGAAAAACCCACAGCAACCCAGTAAAATGCAATAGTCATAAAATTAAATTTAAAATGTGTGGGTTAAAACTAACTGGACACACACACATACACATTATTTTAAAAAGCAGTTAATAATTATTGCATTTTAAACAGTTAAAGGAAAGGATATAAAACAACACATTATTTCTAATCAAGGTGGTCATTTGAAACATTCACACCTAGCTCCAGCAGACAAAAGTCCTTTGTCCCACCCTGGTAATTCCACAGATATAGAAACCCATTTTCCTACTTCCAACAGACCTCACTACCTCTGAGGATGCTTGCCATAGATGCAGGCGAAACGTCAGGAGAAAAAGCCTCTAGAATATCGCCATATAGCCCGGAAAAACCTACACATTATTAAATGCCTGCTGTAGTTAATTTCTAAACATTTTGGGGGGCTAAAACTTCTAATAATTTGGTCTGAGGGATAAAATGGGCATACTTAGTATTTGTGAAGGAGATAGAAGAAATAGAGGCCATAAGATATAACCAACAGAAAAGAAACAGATGCGCTTTTGTTTTGAGAGGTAAAGGTTTTTCCATGTCCAAATCTGGGGGTTGGTGCTCATCTCCATTTCTAAGCCAAAGAGCTGGCATTGTCCGTAGACACCTCCAAGATCATGTGGCCGGCATGACTGCATGGAGCACCATTACTTTGTTTTGAGAACAAATTCTACTAAGTTTTTGTTTTTGCCCAAGCAAATTTTTGGACATTGTCCTCATAACATTGGTCAACATTTTCTGTTTCTCAGCAGTTTGTTCATGTAAATATTAACAAAAGAAGACTCCCTAAAATGCAGGTCTTGCAATGATTAAGGTGCAGACTGGCAAAGTGTAAGTGTACGGTCAAAGTCAGATTCCCAAGACTATTTTTGTGGGCCTTGACTTGTCCATAATCCACCCCTTGTTTGGCAGGGAAGAAAAAGGTGAATTCCTTTTTTCTGGGAACCTCAAGGAATGGCCTTTCTTATGTTAAAGAGGTTGTTCCCCCACTTTGTTGCTTTACATTAAAAATGCCTGCTTTTTAAAAAACCAGGAGTAGATTTTTAGACAGTTTTAATGGATGGATTTGTTAAATGCTCTTTGCTGAATAAAGAATCCAGTTTCACCTCCTCCAAGATGAACTGAATCATAGGCATGGATAGAGTTGCATTGGGTAACTCGTTGCTTGTAATAATTTCGTTACAATTACCTTTTTGAAGTGATATTGAAGCATTTTTAAAAAGCTCCCACCATCCTACAACAGCGGGAGGTGGCACCGAGGTTATAACCCAGACCTCTTATTTGTGAGCGACAGCATCGTACAGCAATGCACCAAATCAGTGGGACCACCCATTCCAAACACACAGCACCGACCAATAATATGCCAACTGTTCCCAACAATAAGGCCTCAAGAAGTTCGATTTAAACGAAGATACAACTTCAGAAAGGCAGATTGGACTAAATTCTCAGACATGTTAGATGACATGATCTCATCAGTCGTGCCAATCCCTGAGGAATACGAGCATTTTATTGAAATAGTAAAAACCTGCTCACGGGCCTCCATACCGAGAGGCTGCAGAACCAACTACCTTCAGGGCATTACTCCTGAAACAGCTGCCTTGTTGGAAAACTATTACAGGCTCCACAACGAAGACCCATTTAGTGAGCAGACTCTTCAGGCAGCGCAGAGCATTGTGTCCTCCATCTCTGAAGCCAAGAAAGAACAGTGGATCAAGCTGATCACAGAGGTCGACATGGGCAGGAGCAGCCAGAAGGCGTGGAGGCTGCTAAGACGGTTGAGCAATGACCCCTCACAAACTAATACCCATGCCAACATAAAGGCAGATCAGATAGCACACCAACTCTTGAAGAATGGGAAACCCAACTCTGCCACCAAAGTAGGAAAGAAACCAATAGCCAGACAACAAGAGATTGAGAACAACAACCTTCATGAACCCTTTACATCCACTGAATTGGACATGGCACTCAACAAATGTAAGAATGGCAAAGCAGCTGGCTTGGATGATCTACGGATGGAACAAATCAAGAACTTTGGTCCCAAAAGCAAGGCGCTGGCTGCTGGAGCTGATGAACAACTGCACTGCATCCTGTCAGATCCCCAAAATCTGGAGGAAAGCAAGAGTCATCGCCATCTTGAAGCCAGGCAAAGACCGCAACGACCCAAAAAGCTACAGACCAATCTCCCTGTTGTGCCACCTCTACAAAGTTCTGGAGAGACTTATTTTGCATAGAATTATGGAAAAAATAGACCCATGTCTGATCCCACAGCAAGCTGGCTTCAGAAAAGGCAAAAGCTGCACATCGCAAGTGCTGAACCTGACTCAGCACATAGAAGATGGCTTTGAAAGGCAGCAGATCACAGGAGCTGTCTTCATAGACCTGTCAGCAGCTTATGATACTGTGAACCATCGCCTCCTCCTGAGAAAAATGTATAATATCACAAAGGACTACCACCTCACCCGCCTCATAGGAAACCTGCTACAAAACAGGAGCTTTTTGTTGAGTTCCAGGGCCAGAGAAGCAGATGGCGAAAACAGAAGAATGGCCTGCCTCAGGGGAGCGTGCTTGCTCCATCCATGTTCAACATCTACACAAATGACCAGCCACTGCCAGAAGGGACAGAGAGTTTCATCTATGCTGATGATCGTGCCATTACTGCTCAAGCAGGGAGCTTTGAGATGGTTGAACAGAAGCTTTCCGAAGCTCTAGGTGCTCTTACTGCCTATTACAGGGAAAACCAGCTGATCCCCAACCCATCTAAAACACAGACATGTGCCTTTCATCTCAAGAACAGACAAGCATCCCGAGCTCTGAAGATCACCTGGGAAGGAATCCCACTGGAGCATTGCAGCGCACCCAAATACCTGGGTCACTCTGGACCGTGCTCTGACCTACAAGAAGCACTGCCTGAACATCAAGCAAAAAGTGAGTGCTAGAAACAATATCATACGAAAGCTGACTGGCACAACCTGGGGATCACAACCAGATACAGTGAAGACATCTGCCCTTGCGCTGTGCTACTCTGCTGCTGAGTATGCATGCCCAGTGTGGAACACATCTCACCACACTAAAGCAGTGGATGTGGCTCTTAATGAGACATGCCGCATTATCACGGGGTGCCTGCGCCCTACACCACTGGAAAAATTACACTGTCTAGCCGGTATTGCACCACCTGACATCCGCCGGGAAGTAGCAGCCAATAGTGAAAGGACCAAGGCAGAGACATCTCCAGCTCATCCCGTTTGGGTATCAGCCAGCACGTCAACGACTTAAATCTAGAAATAGTTTTCTAAGATCTACAGAGACACTCACTGGAACACCTCAGCAAGCGAGAGTCCAAAAGTGGCAGGCCCAAACCCAGAACCTCAACCAATGGCTGATACCCAATGAGAGACTCCCCCCTGGGCACACAGAGGACTGGGCGACTTGGAAGGCGCTGAACAGACTGCGCTCTGGCACCACGAGATGCAGAGCCAACCTTCAGAAATGGGGCCTACAAAGTGGAATCCTCGACATGCGAGTGTGGAGAGGAGCAAACCACAGACCACCTGCTGCAATGCAACCTGAGCCCTGCCACATGCACAAGGGAGGACCTTCTTGCCGCAACACCAGAAGCACTCCAAGTGGCCAGATACTGGTCAAAGGACATTTAATCAACTACCAAGCTCAAAACTGATCTGTTTGTTTGCTTTGTTGTTAGAAAATGTAATATAATTTGACTGGTTGTTCTGACACGACAAATAATTTTTAAAAACAGGAAGTCCCTTTGCTCTTCCAAAGCTCCCCCCCCCCATTTTTGTAATGACTCGGGAAGTGAGTCGGAAATGGTTCAGCGTAACTTACTTGTCTGAACTTTCATCACCAGAACTTTAGCAACACTGTAGAATCAAAGCACCAGCACCCCCTAGTTTTGTAAGTACTTTAGAGCGATTTAGAACCATGGATAGCCCATGCCTACTGACCGCATAGGGAACATGAGGAAGAAATACAACCTACAAACTATCTACAGACCCACTAAGAAAATCCAACAAATGCTACTTTCAGCAAAGGACAAGAGGGATCCTCTCACCTCTGCAGGAGTCTACTGTTTACCATGCAACTATAGGCAAGCCTACATAGAGACCACCAAACACACAAAGGAACATGAAAGGCTGTCGGCTGTCAAAGCCATGTTTGGGCTCATAAATGACAGCTTTAGAAACGAGGTGAGGTTTGAGGGTTTTCTCCCTACCTTTGGAAGCAGGAATTCCCTGAAAGGTGTGTCCCGGGTCACGGCCCGTGGGAGTCCCATGGGCAAAATGGAGATGAAGCGCTGGATCTCATAGAGGACAGCATCCGTGTACGGCATGCTTTTACGGTCAGCGAGACACGGAGCACGGTTAGTGCCAATCACTCGGTCAATCTCCTGATGGACGCGAACTGTGGGAAGGAAGACAGGAGGAGCAGATGTAGTCTGTGTCCTTCTCAGTGGGACAAGGCTCATAGTTCCCCCTGGAAGGGAAATTCCAGATCCGCTGAGAGCAATTGGGACAATTCGGTCTTTGACAACAAAATGAGAGAAAACATGCAACTATTGGGAGGCAATTCAATGATGGAAAGGGAGCGTGAAAATCAAGGCAACTCAAGAAGGTTAGATTTGGCCCTGGGACTTCATGTTCCCCACTTCTGATCTGCATGGTCTGGCAGCAGTTTAGAATGACTGTCTTCCAGCCTCAGATAAAAATGCTTGAACCTGAACCTGGGAGTTTTCATAGGCAAAGCAGGTCTTCTGCAACAAAGCCACAGGTCTTTTGCATTTTAGATGTGTGTCCCTACACTGAAAATTGCATTGGATAGACCTCATCAGCTCTAATTTCCGATACAGAACATATGCCATTCAGTAGTCGCTATCTGCTAACCCACAGAAACCCATATTTAATAAGCCTTGGGACTATAGGAGGGTTTCATGAGATCAATCACTCTCGTTGCAATGGTGTAGTAATGGTGAAGCCGCGGACCATATTTTAGTTCTTGTGGACCACTGGTGGTCCATAGACTATAAGTTGGAAACCACTGATCTAGACTATGCTCCTGTTGATGCAGTCCAGAATTGCATTGGTTTTGTTGACTGCCACATTCAATTATTACTTTGTACCCATGTCCCATACATGCTCCACATGCTTCCTTTTACCCTTACCAGCCACGTCAGGGTATTTCATAAGGATGAGGAAGCTGTACCGGAGAGTTGTACTGGTTGTCTCTGTGCCTCCAAAGAACAGGTTGTGTGTGGTCATCACCAATGTCTCCATATTAAAATAGCTCAGTGGGTCTTGCTTTTCCTGAAAGAGAACCAAATTGGAAAGTGGAAAGCCAACGAACCCTTCCTGGCAAGAGGGGAAACTTCTACCTTTTAAAAATATTATATTTCTGCCACTGTTAAACCTATATGTGTACGTATGAACAAGGCAAGAATGCTGATAAAGAGGAGAGAGAAGATTAAACCTCACAGAAACTCAGCAACTTGTGGTTCCCACCATGAATTATGCTATCTCTGTCTCTGTGTCACCTTTCTTATATATACAAGATTTTATTTTAAATGTCTGTATATGTCTCTTTGATGTGTAACCCGATACTGTAGTCAGTGTGTGTAGCTTCCAACTTCTCCTCACAGGTTACATCAATATAATCTCCAGCCAACTTTCAGAAATGTAATTTTAGTCCTGTAACTTGACATGAGACTTTAATTAATATATTAGTTGAAACAAAGAAATGTTTATTTATGAATTCTTGTGCACATAAAGTGTATTTGTTACATAGTACTTTACTCTTGAGAATACATAAAACTGATATTATATAATTTTCAGAAAAGTTTAACTTATGTCAACTTGTTTAGGTAACTTCCTTCTCTTTCAAATTTAATTCCTCCTCAGCCTTCCGACTGGGTATTTTATATTCTGTAGTCACTCCTTTCCATCAAAAGTCTGACTGTAAACTTAGTCTCAAAGTAGTCTCTGTCTCTCAGTTCCACCTGACTGAGGACTTAGACTCAAAATAGTCTCTTATTACTTCAGTACCACAACTAAAGGCACAATCTTATACAAGGATCTTCTTTTCTCTAGTTCCCAGACTAGAGACTGATTCAAAGTGGTCCCTTTATCACTTCAGTATAACAATTGAAGACTCAAACTTAAACTAGGAACCCCTTCACTCTAGCTCCCCTGGCTAGAGACTGACTCATTTCTAAAATGTTCCTTCTTTCCTTCTCAGCTAGCTCCGCCCCCTTTTTCTTGCTAGCCACTCTAAAATGGGTACATTTCTACTGCATGGTGACACATTGACCAATCATATATACCCAACTCCTGCCTGCTCTTGCCATAATATCAACATTAATAAACATAGACAAAACCGCAATTATAATTAGTTTTTTCCATTACAGAAAGGGTTGTATGGGAAGCTTTTTTCTTTGGGGATGTGGGGGAACTGGACTGTGGATCACGTCCTCAGTGGTGTTGTGTGATTCAAATTGTCTGTCTTATTAGGTAGAAGAAAGTTAAGAAGCCATACCTCCTCCATGCGGATAAGAAAGCAGTCGATGAAATCTCGTGGGGCCTCTGGATCTAGATCTTTCTGGTGCCAGCAGATGCGCTCAGTGATGAAGTGCCGAAGTTTCTCAAAGTTCTGGAAGATTTGTTGGTGGGGTCCAGGGAGGAGGTCCATCACTCCGGGGAAAATGTTGTAGAGCTGGAGAAAAGGCAGTGATGATATCAGAGCAATACAATCATGATAGGTTCCTTTTGGGAAGTAGTACTATCATTTTGCTCCTCTATCGGTGTAATATCAATATATATTGTACAAGCTTAAAATGTCTATGCTGCTAGCTGTGAAAGAGCTAATCTTTGGAAAATTATGAAGCATGTGTAGAATAGAAAAGGAACATGTTGCAATAGACTAGTAGGCTGGACTCTGAATTAATGAGCTGCTAACAGTAAGGTATAAACGTAGAAGATGCCCTTTGTTCTGTCTTTTTCTTTCTCTTCTCTCTTGCATCATGACCATGCTAACGAGTAAGTGTTATTGCAATGAATGAAATGTAAATGAAGATAAGAGATGCTGCTGAAGCAGAAACAACTGTCTGAAGTCATGGCTTATAAGAAGCAAGTTGACCAGCAAATTGCATTAATTTCTCCTGAGACACTTGTTCAAGTGTCTCAGGAGAAAGTAGAGCTTGGCCATTCATTTTTGGATGTGGAAGGACTACAAATCCCGGAACCTCCTGGCTATGCTGAATGGGGCTGGATCTACACTGACATATAATCCCGTTTCCAGTTTCTGAATCCAGATGATCTGCTTTGAACTGGATTATATGAGCCTACATTGTCATATACTCCAGTTCAAAGCAGATAATCTGGATTCAGAAACTAGATTATTTGGCAGTGTAGATGGGGCCTGGGAGTCCTGTGCCATTAAGTGCCATGGGGATGGACAGCTTATAGTCTATTAGCATGTCAACATCTTATGGAAGAGTTCTCAGCTAGAGATGCTGAGTGTATCAGAAAACTACAGACTCCAAGATTCCATAGGGTGGGATAAAATAAGATCAGAGAGTGCCTCATGGATGATCCCTTGCTCTTGTGCCTACTCCGTGGGTCCTTTACTTGCCTCACCCCAGAAGGAACTCATGATCTGAAAGTTCTCATTAAAGTGATCTAGGAGCCTAAGGAAGTCAGCATCTTCGTAGTCGAAGCGGTTGCCAAAAACCACGGCACATATGACGTTGGAAACGGCTCGGCAGACCAGGTTGATGGGGTTGAAAGGTGCTCCTGTGAGGGAGAGGTGGAGAAAGTGAGAAAAGTGCTTTGGGGATGCCAAAGTAGTGCTTTCCTCAAGCATGACTTGGGGTTTCCAGGACTGAGTGGAGGGAGTAGTACCATATTCAAACCACTACACCAGTGTTTCCCAACCTATGGGCCGTGACCCATGCGTGGGCCATGAGACTTAAAATAAGGTCTGTAAGACATGAGGGGAAAATTGCAATTGCCATTGGAGGAGAGAGAGAGAGAGAGAGAGAAAAGGAGAGGGAGAGAAGGACATCAGCGCATTGCTCTTTCCAGCACTTCCCATGCGAGGACGGAGAGGACTCACCTGGCGGCACGCACAAGGGAGTGAGAGAGAGGATAGTCCCCCAAAGTTGTTGTTGTTGTTCTTGTTGTTGTTATTATTATTATTAACTCCCATTGTCACACATCAGTTGTAATGGGGAACCAGCCCTTTGTAAGACTCTGTTTAGTCACCTAAAATAATAATTAGTACCTAAAGACCTTGGCCTGCACTTAAACACAACCGGCACTGACAAAATTACCATCTGTCAGCTGCAAAAGGCCACCCTACTCGGATCTGCACTGAAACATCACATAGTCCTAGACACTTGGGAAGTGTCCTGTGTGCGATCCAATGCAACAACCAGCACAGTGATCTTGTTTGCTGTGTACTAATCTTGTGTTTCAAATAATAATAATAATAATAATAATAATAATAATAATAATAATAATCTCCCATTGCCAAACACAAGAGTTGTAATGGGAAATCAGCCCTTTTTAAGACACTGTTTAGTCCCCCAAAGTAACTATTATTGTTGTTGTTGTTGTTGTTGTTGTTATTATTATTATTAGCTCCCATTGAAAAAACACAAGAGTTGTAATGGGAAAGCAGCTCTGTGTTTAGTCCCCCAAAGTTATTATTACTATTATTAAAGCCAATAGGGACACCTTCTTGCATCTTGTGCTCCAGTATTTAGGCCTGTTCCTAGGGTTATTTGGGGGTGCTGATTTAGAAAATTGCATTGGATAGACTACATCAGCTCTAGATTGTGAAATATGGTTTTCTGTGGGTGAGTAGATGACGACTACTGAATGGCATAAGTTTTTTATCTGATGCAGTCTATCCAATGCAATTTTCTGAATCACACCCCAAATAACAAAACCGAATCTAAAGTTGACCAAAAACTGATTCGTAACCCTTTGGGTACTAATGTTGGTCCCTGGTCAAAGTGGGCCCTGGTCAAGGGGTGACTATCTCCTAGCCTTTAACTAGGAGAGAGTCACCCTCTCTCCTAGTTAAAGGTGCTGGAGTTCTCTGGCCTGTCTTGGTATCAGACTGCTCTACCTGCCAGCCCTAAAATCTGCTCTGAAAATGGGACTCACCACCAGTTTTCTGAAACTCCTGAACAAGACACTGGGCCTCTTCTTGTATCCGGGCTTCGATGCTGCTTTTCCCCATCCCAAAATTCTTCAGGGTGTGCAGGGCAAAGCGACGCAGGATCTTCCATTTTTCCCCATTGGAGAAGGCAATGCCTGGAGAAAGTGAAAATAGCTCATTATCCTCAATGGTGTGGCATGGGGGTGAATAGATGGGTGCATCTCAGCTGAGCACATTTCTTTCTGGAGTTAATTTATCATAGAATCGAGTTGGAAGAGACCCAAGGGACATCCAGTCCACCCTTATTCTGCCACGCAGGAACACACAACCAAAGCACTCCTGACTGATGGCCATTAAAAGGTTGAACAGCTCTTCCTTTTTTCCAGAGCAGCAGATAATAAACTTGCTTAATGTGTCATCCTTTCAAATATCTAAACATTCACCTTTTATCATTTGTGGTGGATTTGCCCAAAGGCTGAAGCTTTCCGGATAAAAGTGCATATAGATATTGAAAACATAACAGAGGGAGTGTTTTGCTCTTACCATTGCCCTGGGTGAAGCGGTAGAACACAGGGAAATCCCCACGATCACTGAAGTCATCAGCTTGGTCCACCAAGGCCTCCTTCACCGCTTGGTAGCCACACAAGACCACACATGGAAGTGAACCCAAGTGGATAGTGTAGACTGGTCCATATTGCTTGCTGAGCTGCAGAAAGGGTGTATGAGAGAGATATGTGGGAGTCTGAGTTGCCTACCATGGGAGATTATACTGCTAAACTCATTAACATGAACAGTGAGGGTTTGGGGTGGGACATCAGATTTAACTTCCTTGGGATTAGAGACCATGGGAAAATTAATGACATGATTTAGGACCGGGCTGTGGCGCAGATAGTCAGTAGCCAGCTGCATTAAATCACTACTGACCGAGAGGTCATGAGTTCGAAGCCAGCCCAGGTCAGAGTGAGCTCCCGACCATTAATAGTCTAGTTTGCTGTTGACCTATGCAGCCTGAAAGATAGTTGCATTTGTCAAGTAGGAAATTTAGGTACTGCTTTATGGGGGAGGCTAATTTAATTAATTTACGACACCATAAAAGCTTCCAGCAGCGTGCAGAAGAATGAGGAAGTACTCCGTCAAGGACTCGGTGTCATAAGTGGATGGTGAAGCAGCAGCTCCCCCTGTGGACGGAACGAGCATTCCCTCATGAAGCCGGAAAAGCTGGAATGTTAAATTGCCTCTGTGCTTGTCTATATATGTTGTATATCTAATTGGCACTGAATGTTTGCCATGTATATGTGAGCCTTCTGTGGGGTGAGAAGGGCGGAATATAATTATTGTAAATAAATAAAATACTGTAAATAAATTTAGAGTAGCCTATGGCTTCCATATCACTGAAGCCACTGGAACTATATTGCAGATGGAGCTATCCAAGGTTCTGAACACCCTGGAGAGCTCTGTTGAAGTCTGGAAAACTATGGGAATGATCACAAATGGAAGACTATGTGACCAAGGCTAAATGAAGGTGACAGAGATCTATGAGTGGTTCCAAAGTTAGGTCTACAAAACTCAAAAGTGTGAACCCAACAGTGAGACGAATAGGACAACCCAATGCCTTTTACTCAATTGCTCCAGGTAGAATCATAGAATCATAGAGTTGGAAGTGACCTTATGGGCCATCCAGTCCAACCCCTAACAGATGACCATCCAGCCTCTGTTTAAAAGCCTCCCAAGAAGGAGCCTCCACCACACTCCGGGGCAGAGAGTTCCACTGCTGAACACCTCTCACAGTCAGGAAGTTCTTCCTAATGTTCAGATGGAATCTCCTTTCTTGTAGTTTGAAGCCATTGTTCTGCATCCTAGTCTCCAGGGCAGCAGAAAACAAGCTTGCCCCCTCCTCCCTATGACTTCCTCTCACATGCTTATACATGGCTATCATGTCTCCTCTCAGCCTTCTCTTCTTCAGGCTAAACATGCCCAGCCCTTTAAGCCGCTCCTCATAGGGCTTATTCTCCAGACCCTTGATCATTTTAGTCAGCCTTCTCTGGACACATTCCAGCTTGTCAACATCTGCCCAGAAATAATGTTGATGATGACAGATTTGGCAGATTTAAGGAGTGACTGGAGTAGACACAAGGAAGCAAGATATTCCTTTCTACTATAAGCATGGTCTGAGAGCAAAAAAGCAGGGAGTAATACGCCAAATTGTTTTGACATGATACTTTTTGCACTCAGACACTTAAGTTAATCTCTTATTAATATGCCTATATCAGATTTCATGGCCCCAAGTGTTGTTTAATACATGTACTAATTGTTCTCAATCAGAACTAATTGCTTCTTGGGTAATATTGAGTCATTCATATTATGGTTCCATCCCATACAAGAACAAGGCCTGAGGATTAAGACTCTCTTAATCCACATAGGTTATTAAAGAGCAAGAACAGCCAAGCTAGGGATGTGTCTAATGATATCTGACTGCATTAATTCCTGTACTATAGAATGAATGAAATTAGGCATCACTTTAAGTACCACGGCTGAATGCTATGGAATTCTATTTCTTCCTCCTTTTCCTCTTCCAAGTTTCAGCTGATTTGGAACTGATTTGAATGCCACTCGTGGGGACATTGTGGTTATTCAGCATTGTACTCACCAGATATGCTCAGGAACCCTCTCATTTCTATTGTGTGTTTCCATTCTTATTTCCATGATTACAATTAAATATATTCCACCTTTTCCCTTTTTCAAGGAGGTTTGCAAGAGTTAAAATTTAAACAGCTAACAATATACTGGAGCCCTCAGTAGTGTAGCAGGTTAAACCGCTGAGCTTCTGAACTTGCTGACTGAAAGGTTGGCAGTTTGAATCTGGGTAGTGGGGTGAGCTCTCGCTGTTAGGCCCAGCTTCTGCCAACCAAGCAGTTTGAAAATATGCAAATGTGAGTAGATCAATAGGTACTGCTTAAGCAGGAAGGTAAAGGGGCTCCATGCAGTCATGCTGGCCACATGACTTTGGAAGTGTCTATGGACAATGCCGGCTCTTCGGCTTAGAAATGGAGATGAGCACCAATCTCCAGAGTTGGACATGATTGGACTTAATGTCAGGGGAAAACCTTAACCTTTACCTAATCCCCGTAAATATGGAAGGTTCACTGTACAAAGGATTAATAAGTTAATTAATTAATTACAGTATTTATATTCTGCCCTTCTCACCCCGCAGGGGACTCAGGGTGGATTACAATGTACATATACATGGCAAACATTCAATGCCATAGACACACAACATATATAGACAGACACTCAGAGGCTATTTAACATTCCAGCTTATTCTGGCCACCAGGGGAGCTGTCACTTCACCGTCCATTTGTGACACTGATGAAGTACTTCCTAATTCTTTGCATGCTTGCTGGAGATTTTTATGGCCTCATAAATTAGTTATATTAACCTCCCGCATAAGCGGTACCTAAATTTCCTACTTGACAGATGCAACTGTCTTTCGGGCTGCAAAGGTCAACAGCAAGCTACACAAATTGGTCGGAAGCTCACTCCGACCTGGGCTGGCTTCGAACTCATGACCTTTCGGCCAGTAGTGATCTTAATACAGCTGACTCCCAGCTAGCTGCGCCACAGTCCCGGTGCAACTCATCATCTAGATTTGGAAAGCATCTTGTAGCCTACTACCTGCTTTGTGCATGGACTCCAGAGTGTGAGTATCCTCAGTGCAGAATGGGCCAGGACAGTCAATTTTTTAAAAAAAATGATGATAGCAATAATAATGTTTGCCCGTTCCACCAAATGGAGAAACATTAAACATAGTCAAAGGCAGTGGTTCTTAACCTGTGGGTCCCCAGGTGTTTTGGCCTACAACTCCCAGAAATCCCAGCCAGTTTACCAGGTGTTAGGATTTCTGGGAGTGGAAGGCCAAAACATATGGGGACCCACAGGTTGAGAACCACTGGTCAAAGGCAATAGGTTTATAATACCACCTGGAG